GGAACTTTTTACCTTCTGCTCCTTCTGCGAGGATGCACCTCCCCAACCCCATGCAGACCGTGCATCCTGTCAGACCATGCCAGGCACTGAGGTGCCCGTCCTTGCTTGGCTACCTCGCCCTTCGTAGGGCGTTGATCAGTTTCTAATTATATCGTTCTCCCCCATCAGGACAGTGGTGCCATGTGCAGTCACACGTGTGTGTCTCCACCTTAACACCTGTGTGGCACGCAGTGGGTCGGCTTGAATAGTTGCCACCTGACGGATGGTCTGCTGTTGATAGTCGCTTTTCTTTGATTACCTGTGACTTTCGACAATTTCCCGTGTTTTACTGGTTATTTGTTGTTTACAACTCGCTGGAAATGATCTCCCCCTCCTCACCTTCTGCTGAAAACTTTTCCTTGAAGTTTGTCCCATTCACGTTTTTTTCAACGTTCACTTAGTTGGACTCTGTGATGATTAATTTTATGGATTAACTTGACTCGGCCACAGGACCCAGATATTGGGTCAAACACTAGTCCAAACGGTGAAGGTATTTGAAAATGGGATTAACATTAAATCAGTAGATGTTGCATAAAGCAGATTGTCCTACGTGGGTGGGCCTCATCTAATCAGGTGAAGGCCTTAAGAGGAAAAGCTCGAGGTTCCCTGAGGGAGAGGGGATTTGCCTCTGGACTCAAACTGTGGCATCAGCTCTCCTGGGTCTCTGGGCTGCTGGCCCACCCTACAGGTTTTGGGCTCTCCAAATCTTGACAATCACAGGACCCATTCCTCAGGCCCTCTCCCCGCTATCTGTATATCAATGTACATTATCTCTCTATCTCGTATATTTATTCTCTGAAGAACCCTGACTGATGCAGACTCTTTCGCATGTTATATACTTCAGCCGCTCTCTCTCCCATAGTATTTAGCTTTGTTTATTGTGATTTTATCCTCATAGATTAAAATTTTTTCTTTCTGTAGGCAAATCTATCAATATTATTTTTAAAGTTCCTGGCTGTGGTGTCATTCTGAGAAAACGCCTATTCACCCTGGCAGAGCATAAATAATTTCCCATAATTTCCTCTGGTCTGAGTTTTGATTTGCATCAAATGCTGGTCCTGACTTTGCTTTTGTCCTGACGGTGAGAGCAGGTGTCCTGTCTCTTTGCTCTTTCCATCTCCCAACTCTTTTGAGGTCTTGTCCTGGTCATATGTCTTCTAGAATAAACTCAACAAACACGGGCCTGCTGTGGGCCAGGAACAGACACGGGCCGTGGCTGGAGAGCACAGCCTGGTTTCTGCCCAGGTCTGGGGAGGCTTCATTCCCAAGCCTTGGGGAGCAGGAATGGCGGAGACCCTTTTCCCCAAGCACCAAGGGAGGGGCGGGCAGTTGGGCCCCAGGCAGGGGCTGGGAAGTGAATCCCACACCACGGGGCCAGGATTGTCAGGCCTTGATTTAAGCATGGGAGGGCGGATGTGTGCTGTTTGTTACCACAGCTGGAAACAGATGTTTCTGCCCTGGGAGGAGGGTGTCCAGGCAGGTGGGGCTGCGGGGACTCGGGTGAGCTGCAGAGCAAGGGGGGAATACGGCCCTCGGCTGCATGTCACAGGGCTGAGCGGCGGCCGGGGCTGCGGTGCCAGGAAGGCCACAAACACAGCCTTGTCGGGGGAAACGGCCGAGCCCGGGGCCCCAGGGCTGTCACATGCCTCCTGCAGAGGCCTCTGGAGTGGCAGAGGTGGACTGATGGTTATTTAAGATAAAAAGGGGAAGTCTGCGGACAGGCGGCTCGCTGGGTTTTTCTGTTGAAGAACTGGGTGAAATTGTGCGGAGTCCACCTGGCAGGCGCCGAGGGCTGAGGGCTGGCTGCGGTCAGGGGAGCTCGGCCGCTAGGCGGGGTGCAGGGACGTTTGTGGGTGACAGCGCACTTCATGCCTTATTTTGGGGCTTTTCGTGGAAGTGTTTCCTGGACAGAAGGAAGCTCAAGTACAGACCCCCTGGCCCAGATCAGCAGCCACCACGCTCAGGGGATCGCGGCTGTAGGCTTTGGTGCTGACAGCCCTTCTGGCCTCCCAGGGCCTGCGGGTGGGTCCCACGGCGCAAACCCCAGGGCAGGGCGGGGAGCCTGGGGCGCGGGCCTGGGGGCAGCCGGGAGACGCTGTGGCCACACGGGGGCCTTCCGTGGAGAGGCCGGCTGGGGGCCCGCGCGCGCCCTCCTTGGTGGCTCTGAGGCCTCTCACCCCCCAGCCAGACTGCCCCTCCCTTCCTTCACACATTGCTTAGCTGCTGTGCACGCCGGGGCTTTACCATCCGGGCTGTCCAGGCTGGAGATAAGGCAGCACCAGGGGCCCCAGAGGTGGGGAGGTGCCGTGAAAGTGGGACACGGGCGTGGGGCAGGGTGGCTTGGCCGGTCTGGGTCAGCCGGGTGAGGCGTGGAAGTTTTGATTTCATTCTTGGTGTGACAGGAGCCCATCACTGGGTTTGGGCTGGGGCTGCCGGGACAGATGCGAGTTTTGAAAGACCGCCCTGGCTGCAGGCCAGGGAGCGGGTGAGCGGGAGTCGTCTGGAGATGACCCTGAGGTGTCTTTTTGGCAGGTGTTCATTTACTGAGGTGGGAGAGACGGGGCGACGGGTCGATCTCAGAAGGGAAGTTACTTTGGGGCTGCTCCATCCGGTCCACCTGTGACCTTGGGACTTGCTCTGTGCCAGGGGCAGCCCCGGTCTCCATCCCCTCAGTGAATGTTTGTCAGCACCTCCCGCACGTGGGCTTTGTTCAGGGAGCAAGGGAAAACCCTGTGCTCTGGGGTTAACTTTCTGGGTGAGGACAAAGAAACAACCAGCTAGTGTCATGAGTACGTGAGCCGTAGAACGTGCCAGAAGGGCCAAAGAAGAGACCTCGGCAGGGAAGGGGGATGGGTGTGGTGCCGTTCTCATTAGGGCAGATGGGGTGGGCTTCATGCAAAGACTTGAAGGGGGTGAAGGAGGGACCCTCCAGAGCCTGGGAAGAGGTCTCTTCGAGGGGACAGCCAGTGGGGAGGCCCTGCCTGGAGGAGGGAGCAGGTGGGGTGGAGGGACGGGAGGCTGGGGCAGGGCGGGGCCACCATGAGGACCCCAGGACCTGCAGGTGAATTTCTGATCAAATGTGAGGCCCTTTCGGGCTGTGGACCAGCTGAGGCCTCATCCAAGATCTCGAGACAGGGCTGCCCTCGCTGCCAGGCTGAGAGGGCTGCAGAAGGCAAGGGGGTGCAGAGAATGCCACCAAGGAGCCTGCAGGCATGGCGACTGCCCTGGCCAAGGCGGCGGGCCGGCCAGTGTGGGAAATGAGGCTTCCTGGATGGGTGTGGCAGGCAGAGCACAGGTCTGCTGCTCGACTGGGGCAGGCTGCAGAGAAAGAAGGGAGTCAATTCCCAGAGTTTGCACCCAAGCCGCTGGCAGGGCGGGGCACCCTTGGCTGGGACGGGGAGGATGCTGGGGATGGGCTGGTCTGGAGGGACTGTCGGTGTCTTAGTTCCTGCGGCTGCAGCAAATTACCACAAACACGTGTCTGCTCACGGTCTGCAGGCCAGACGTCTGAAACAGTCTCACTGGGCCTCGAGCAAGTGAGGGCAGGGCTGCGCGGGGAGGGCCTGCTCCTGGCCTTTTCCAGCCGCCCGAGCGGCATCCCTTGGCCCGTGGCCCTGTCCTCCGTCTTCGAAGCCGGCAGGGTAGCCGGCCCTGCCTCTGTGTCACAGGCCCTTCCTCTTTGTGCCAGGTCCCCCGGGCCTCCCCCTCGTGAGGACCTGGTGATGACGCTGGGCCGAGAGGCTAGGACCCTCGCGCATCTCAGGGTCCTGGGTGTAGTCATCTGCACAGTCCCCACTCACAGGCTTCAGGGATCAGGACATCTTCGGGACCGTGTCCAGCCCACCAGCCAGATGTTTGGTGGCAGGTGTGTTGAGGGTGAGACGTGTTGTTGACTTCCAGCGCCAACATGTGGAATGAGGTCCACATTTGGGGACAAGAGAGGAATGCCAGCCGTGGACAAATGCTGTTGGGCCACAGGCTGGGTCGGGGGCTGCAGGGCACAACCAGTGACAAGGGGAAGCTGGCAGCGTGGTGTCCAGGAGCCAGCGAGGGGGGCGAGAGCATGACGCCCGACACGCAGACCGGCCAGGGAGGGCACGGCCTCGGCACCGACCCCTCACCCCCGCCCTGGTCCGCGGGTGGGGAAGCAGGGAGGACATGCCCGAGGCTGGCAGCCGGGCAGGTGTCCGCCACGCTGGCCGCCCCTCCTGGTGGGGCGAGAAAGCCTGGGCTGATCGGGGCCAGGTCCACCCCCTCGCCTGCCACGGGGACTCCGGGCAGTGGCGGGGAGTGACCAGGTGCTGGGCAGAACCAGCGTCTTCTCCAAGCCCTGTGGGGCAGCACTTTGTCTACTCCCCAGCCCGCCCTGCGTGAGGGGTGCTGTCGCCGCGTCTGACGGAGGGGTGGATGCATGGAGGGCTCGGGGGCTGCCCGAGCCGTGCAGATGGTGAGGGCGGCTCTGTGTGCCCAGCTGCTCCCGCCACCACCACTCAGTGCTGTCTCCTGTGCGTGTGCGTGTGTGCACTGCATGAGCACACGTGTGCCTGTGTGTGTGAGTGTGAATCCGTGTGTGTGCGTGGCTGCAGACCCGCACACGTGTGCCCACGTGCATATGCCCTTGCTTTTGCATGTGTTTGCACACGTGCGTGTGCGTGTGCTTGCAGGGTGCAGACCCATGTGTGCACTGCATGTGTAGGCGCACACATGCTCGTGTGTGAGGAGTGCATGCATGTGCACATGCATGTGTGCACGTGTGCCTGCCTGTGTGGACGGGCACATGCCTGGTGTGGGCAGCAGGGCCTTTGGTGCAGGGAGCTCTCCCAGCTCCCTTGTCGCGGCAGCTCCCCGATGCATGCCCTGACCCTGCCGGCCCCCGTCCTCGGATGCTTGCCCTCAGCCTTCTGGGTTCCCTGACCTGGGGATACCCGAAAGGCTGGGACGCAGAAACAGGAGGCAGGTGACGTGAGCCAAAGCTGTTTATGGGGCTGGACGGTGGGCGGGAAGGTAAGGGGGCCACAGTCAGGACCGCTGGCTCAGGGCCAGCTGGGGGAGCCACCCACCTCCCTGTATCATGATGCCCTCCTCTCTGTGTCGGGGGCTGGGCTCTGCCGTGGGCAGAGGAGAGTGAGTGGGGGTCAGGGGTGGGGCTGGAGGCCTCTGTGCACAGGGTGGAGTCCTGCCCTCTGGCAGCAGTGGGCGGCGTGGAGGCCAAGCTTCCCCTGCTGCAGTGCCGGCACCAGCTCTCTGGGACTACTTCACCTGCAGCAAGAGCCCCAGGGTCAGGAAGGCGGCGGGGTCCCAGAGGACAGGGTGCAGGCCCCCAGGTCAGGGCCCCCCCGCCCAGCTGAGTCAGGGACCCCACCTCTCTGACCCCCACGAGCGCAGGTCCAAATGCCTGTCCTATGCTAGGGCTGTGGGTGGAGGGAGGGGAGCCGCCCTGCCGGGCTCCCTGCTCACGGGGCGCCGGCTGCCTGGGTCACCCTACCTTGATGAAGGTGACGAAGCCGCCGTAGAGCAGAGTGACAAGGAAGAGGGCCACGAAGGTGAGCCACAGGCGGCTCGTGTCCTCCAGCTCTGAGTAGTCGTCACCGCTCTCGTCCTGGCTCCGCGGGGGCAGGGTGGCCAGACCTGGGGAAACGCCAGTGCCGCTGAGACCACGCCCGCGCCGGCACACGGTGGGCCCCCAACGCGCACATGCAAACGGCCTGCTCCCTGCCGGGCCGCGCTGGCCGCTGGCGCTCCGCAGGGCCCGCCGGGTCACTGTGCCTGGTGGGGCTGACGGTCTGGAACCAAACTGACTCACAGCTCAGTTCATGCCAGCGTGACTGGGCGCAGCGAGTGGGGGGCACTGACACCGATGTGGACACAGGGGGCCCGGCCCGGCCAGGCTGGACCGCGAGAGCCTCCCTCAGAAGTGGCAGCTTTGTGACAGGGTGAAAGATAAGATGGTGCCAGCCAGGCAGAGAGAGCTGGGAACAGCGTCCAAGCAGGAGGAACAGCATGACGAGTGCCCTGTCTCAAGAGAGCCTGACGCGGAAAAGTGGACGGGAGCTCCATGTGCCTGCAGCGGGGACCTGGGGCCAAGCGGTGGGAGAGGAGGCCAGAGTGGGGCTGGGACCGGGCCCTGCTGGTGACTTTATCCTGAGAACAAAGGGCTTTAAGCAAGGGCATGTGAAGGCCAAGTTTGAATATCAAAAAGTCATTCCTGCTGGAGTTGGAGTGGTTGGGGTGCAAGGCAGGATGAGAGGAACTTGCTAGCGTCCGAGCCCAGGTTAACACACTTGTGCGGAAATCACCCCAAAGTCCGGAGGGAGACCCTGGGGGCAGGTAGGAAGTACTGGGTCCCGGGACCCGTCTCATGCCCCGGACTTTCCTAGTCGTTCATTCCATGAATGTTTATTGAGGGTCTTCCTCGTGCTTGACCAGAGTTACCGGAAGTGGGGTCTGTACGTGGTACTGGCCGGGAACCACTGGTCACAGGGCACAGGAAATAGGTATGGAAATTGTGTGCATTGGAAATTTTTATAGCAGTCTGTTGAATCTAATAATAAATATCAGCACATCTTGGTTTCTGTTTGTCTCAGATTTCTAGTAATTAGTTCATATTGTATTCTGCAAAGGTATTGGTCCATGATTCATTGGAAAAAATTTAAAAGGCAGCAACCCTTTGCCACAGAAAACTTGAAGGAGCCTGTTCTACACACATGGAACGCAGGGGTGAGCAGGCCGGGGGTCAGTGAGATGGGTAAACATGACGACAGGTTCCCATGGACCTGCTCCATCCAGTTAAAGGCCAGGTGTACCAGATGCCCCATGACCCAGCCCTGGGGTCAGGGATGTCTTCTCAGTTACACAAGAGAGCTCGTGTGAATGATAAGCAGAAGTTGGCGGGATGAGAAGGTGGGAAAGATTTAGAGTGGGGGAAGCAGCGTTGGGAAGAATTGCAGGTGAGAGAGGTCATGCCCATTCACCCCTCTGGAGCAGGGCAGGAATGTGTCAGCGGGCAGCCCATTGGGCACAGTCTGAGAAACCCTGGGACAGGGTTTCTGTCCTGTCCTGACAGGGACAGGATCTGGAAGTTTTCCTTAGGGCAAAAGAAGCCATGAAAAGCGCTTAAGCCGAGGGGCGACGTGACTGGCATTGCTTCCAGTCCCCACATCTGGGTCACCTGTGGGGCTGATTCTATTTGCTAGTTTAAATCTTGATGACGCGTGAAGGTTTTCGCTTATGTGCATGCCTAGGAGATTTTGATTGCGTGTGGACGTTGTGCACAGACAGACGGTGAGCCTGAGGTAGATTATCCATGTGTATTTTCCATGAAGTGGGCACACACCTCCTCTGTTGGGCGGGGAGGGTGAGGGGCTCATTGTTTTCACCAGGAGTTGAGCTGGGCTGGGTAGCAGGATCGCTGGCTCCTGGGTCTGAATGTTTGGGTGGGGTCAGGCCCCTCCAGTGGGGCTTTGGGGTCTAAGCCTCGTCCAAGGCTGGAGATCTCTTGCCTCGCTCTGCTCCCAGACACTGCTCACTCAGCAGAAGTCCTGGGTGGGGGAAGCGGCGGGTGGGGGAGGTTTGTCTGGGGCCCATCTGTATTCCCACTCCCCAGGCCAGCCCACACAGACGCTACACCTCGGCAGATTCCCTCGCGTCCCTCTCCTCTCATGGCTGCCCAGGCCTCTTGTCCGCCTGTCTGGGATGAGGATACAGTGGCCAGCAGCCTCCTCTGGCCCAGGGATCTCGGTCAGTTGGACGCTGAGTCCTCAGCTCTTCAGAGGCTTTACATAAATCTGATTTCTACTGTTTACTCGACGTTGTCCTGTCACCGCGTGAGTGACCATCTCACTAGCTTCTGCATCCTAAGTGGAAGCAGAACCTCGATGGATGTTTAAAGATCACCTTGGCTGCTGAGTGAAGGATGGGCTGTGGAGGGGGCGACGCTGGCAGCGAGACCGGCAGGGAGCGCGGAGGTCTGGGGTGGGGTCAACAGAGAGAGGCGTGAGGACTCGAGGTATTCAGGAGTTGGGGGGCTGCCTGGCTGCGAGGGTGGCGGAGGGCCGAGGTCCCTTGGCTTCACTTTGGGGGATGGGACGCATGGCTGAGGAGTGCTGGGGCCGCAGAGCAGGCCAGGAGGGAGAGGCGAGGCGCCCCATGGGAAGCAGCGTTCCAGCTGCCGTTTTGTAACAATAACGAGGACCACAGGTGCTGGCCTATGCTGAGCACGCTGCAAGTCTCCCCTCCTTTGGGAAGAGGCGGACGGTGGTGGGCTGACCCTAGAGCGGCGGGGGATGGCGTGGCCTACGGATGGAGGACCGGGGACCCTGGGTCCTTGGAGGAAAGCAGCAGGACCCGTCGAGGCAGCAAGCCACGACTCGGGGGGCATGCAGCTAGCCCAGAGAAGAGAGAGGCTGCAATCCAGGCTGTGCAGGTGCTGAGGAGAGGGCGGCCGAGGCTGCCTTAAGCAGGGAGCCGTCCTGGCTGCCCTCCACTGGTCGGGAGGAGGGGTCGGGGCAGGGAAGGCCCAGCTGCCTGCCGGCTCAGACCCGGGGTGAGATGGTGCGGCCCCCCTCACTCCCAGGGGGCCCTGCGGACTGGCCAGGCCTCCTGTCGCCTCTGCCGCCCACCCTGTCTCCAGAGTGTGTGGCCCTGGCGGGTGGACATATTTCTGGCCCCTGTGGGAGGTGTGGGTCAAGGCTCTGAAGGTGCCCGGTCCAGGGTCTCCTGGGACATGAGACCACGGAGAGCCTGCGCTGTGCCTGGGGGCCCGTCTGCCCAGGGGAAGAGAGAGGGGCAGGGGCAGGAGGCCATTTCAGTGACCCAGGAACAGACAGGCCGGAGGGGCGTGAGCCGTGACAGGTGGCCCAGCACAGACGGCGCCTGGATGGGGAGGGGCAGTGCTGTGAATCGGGCTGTGCCCCAGGCGGGCACTTCAGGAGGACACCTGCTGGGGCACAGGTAGGTGGGCCGGGGGTGCAGCCGCTCTCCGGGGGACCCTGCAAGGCCAGCGGGGGCACTGCCCACCAGGAGGCCGCTGTTGCCAGGCCCGTCTGTGTGAGGGCTGCTGTCCGGGCGTCTCCTCCACTCCGAGGGGTGCCCATGGCGAGGGCCACGGCCGTAGGCAAGGTGCCCAACCCCAGTAGAGCAGGAGCCTTCCTGTCCCCCTCGCCTTGCCGACTTGGGCCCCCCAGCTGCCGACACCTTCCTCTGCCTGGCTCCCGTCGGGTGGCCTGGGGCCTGGGCCCCTGCTACAGCTCCTGCCCGGCCCAGGGTGCCCACCACTGTCCCTGGGCCCCCACCACAGCCTCTTCTCTGGCGCTGTCTGTCCACTCTTCCCCTCTGAGTGGCGTGTGGTCAGGGCCTGCCGTGGGTGTGTGCCGGTCTGACTCCCTTGGGTGCCCTAACCCAGCCCCCGCTTCCGGGCATATCTGGCTTCCCAGGTGCTGACCGTGCTCCCAGATGGGCGGAGGTCTTGGGGGCTGGTGAGGCTTGGACGCCCCCGGGGGGCCGCTGTCTGGGGTGATCACCCTCACACCCAGCCCAGGGGAGGCCCTGCTCTGCACCCAGAGGTGGGTGCACCTTGGAGGGAGATGGCTGCTCCTCGGGGACTGGGGTGGGGGGCCCACCTCCCACCCTTCCTGGGCCAGCACATGGTGTGTGGACACGGGGCCGGGCCTGATGGGGCAGCTTCCAGGGCACCCAGAGCCCCCAGGGCAGGGAGGCGTGCACTCCAGACGCGCAGCAGCCTGGTCCCCGCTGCCCGGCTCCTCCGGGGCTGCCCCTCCGCCCCCGGCCCAGCGTCTGCCACCGGCTCGGATGGAAGCCCCCAGCCCGCGTGACTCACCACCAGTGTCCAGGTTCCAGCTGGCGCTGAGCAGCGTCCGGGAGGCCTCGTGCCTGACCACACAGGTGTAGGTGGCAGCCGCACGGCCCGGGAAGGCGGGGACGCGCAGGACGCTCCAGGTGCGGAACGAGGAGTTCCCAGGCTGGGCTGCGGGGCGCGCCGTGGCGGACCAAGAAGGGTCCACCTCGCGCTGCCCCTCCAGCCAGGCGAGGAGGATGCCCAGCGGTGAGAAGTTGGACACCTCGCACAGCAGCCAGGTGGCTGCCTCGGCAGCGGGCAGTGGACTGGGCGCCGTCAGGACGCGGATGGCAGGCTTGCTGGGCGCCAAGGCCTCTGTAGCGAGAAGCCCGGTCACGCTTTGGGCCGGGGGCATCGGGAGAAGCCAGGCGGCCAGGGGACGCTGGGTCCCACCCCCCGGGGTCCCCTGGTGGAAGGAGGTGGCCAGGGGCGCTGCCGGCTGCGGTGTGGGGCGCAGGGGGCCCGCGGCTGCCCTGTCTCCCTGGCCTGGGAGCCGCCCTCACCGTGTTCTCTCTGTGCTGCCAGAGTCACCGGGGACTGCAGGCCAGGGCCACTCAGCGTGCAGGTGACGGACGTCCCATTGGCCCACAAGGCCCTGGACAGGGGCAGGTGGCTGCTCTGGCTCCAGGACCCGTTGGTGTGCTCTTTGGGCTCCTCCTCCGTGTGCCCGCTGTGGGGCTTCCCATCCACCTCCCAGGACAAGCGGGCTGCCTGCAGGTCGCCTCCCACCGCCAGGCAGGTGAAGGTGGCCTGAGCCTGGAGCCACAGGCCCTGCAGGGGAGGGTGCAGCAGGTAGACCCTGGGGGGCTGGGTGTGGTTCCGGCACTCTGCAGGGGACAGGGACAGGTTGGCGAGGGTGCGTGGTGGTCCCTGGCGCAGTGGATGGGAGCGGGGTCGAGGGGTGGCCAGCGGCTCCTGGTGTCTTTAGTCACCGCCCAGCCCAGGCCTGCCCTCTCCCCAGAGCCACCGGCCCTTGCTGCTTTCAGAAGGGCAGTGGGCCGGTGACCTCCCGTTGCCCACAGCCGGGCTGGGGTCTCGCTTGCAGGCAGGCTCTCTCGGCCGCTGAAAGTTCTCCACCCTTCTCCCCACCCCCACACTTGGTTGCCCCAAGGACTGACCTCTGCAGGGGTCCTTTGGATTTTCTGGCATCCGGGCTTCTGTCTGGGTGCGACTGGTGGACAGCACTGTGGGGGAACGGGGTGAGTCAGGGTCTCCTCCCAGCTCCACAGACGGCTGGCGCTGTGGCCTGCCCACACTGCCGGCCCCCTTCCCGCCCTCTGGGGGTCGTCTCCATCAGCCCTCCCCGAGTACACCTCCAGGCTCTGGCGGGACCCTGGCTGTCTGCTGCTGGTCACGAGTACCTGTGCTCAGTGCTCAAGGACCGTCCCCAAGACAGCCACCTCGACAGTTTAGGGTGATGGTGACCAGTAAGTTATTGGGCCATAAATTGCGACAGCCCAGGGGTCAGCCAACTTTTCTGTCAAGGGCCAGAGAGCAAATATCTTTAGGCTTTGCAGCTGCACGGGGTTTCTGTCTGTCCTCTTGCCCTCCTCCTCCTGGTCCATCCCTCTAGAACTGGAAAGGCCAGTCCTAGGCTGTAGAGATCAGGCTTTGGGCCGCATCTGGCCTGTGGGCCGTGCGAGAGCCGGGCAGCGTCTGGGTCAGGGGGCCCTCCCTTTTCGGAGGGCTTGGCTCGTGCGGTCAGCACACCTTAGGCCCCAGGTGGGTCATCTTCCATGGGAGGGCGGTCCGGCCCCAGAACAGGAGGGCCCAGCCTGTCCTCTTGAAGCTCCGCCCTCTACCCGCCAAGGCTGCCGGGTGGATGGTCCGGCTGCAGGAATCACGGCTGGGGCTGAGTGCTGACACACGCTGGGAGGGTTGTGGGTGTGCACAGCCCTGCCGCGGTGACCTTCTCATCTGGAGGACTGAACTATCTCCTGATTCCCCACGCCCTGTGTGCCCAACCAGGCCACCCCGAGCCTGGGGGACACGCACGGCGGGAGCAGATTCTGCCCTGGGGTGTGAGCGTCTTGACCAATGAGCTGGGCAGGGCCCCCACGGAGATGCCACCTCGGGTCGCGGCCGCTGTCCTCTGCTTGGAGCTGCACTAGCACTCCAGAGGGCCGGCGAGGGGGCTGCCATTCTCTGTGTGACCAGCACACCTCCAGTGGTTTCTGCCCTTCTCAGAGCGAGGACACGCTTCCCAGGGTGGCAGACAGGGTGAGGTGTGACCCTGGGCCCCAGCCAGGCCCCCAGCACTCGAGAGCCTGGAGCCGGGTGGAACTGGGGTGAGGTTGGCTTTCGCCGGCTGCCACGGCTCCCCGGCCCTGTGGGTGGCACCCTGCTTCTGTGAGGGTCTCGGGGCTCAGTTCCATACTCCTGGCTGCCTTGGGAACGTGTGCCCGTGTGAGGCTCCACGGCGAGCTCACGGTCAGCGGGTCTGCTGGGCCAGGTGAGCCTGGAGCTGGCCTGTGGGCTCTCCCTCTCACAGTGCCCCTCACGTTGTGACCTGACCACATTCATGAGGGGCTGATGGCCACACGGGGACCTGAGGTGGTCTCTGCAGTAGGTACCCCTCAGGTCAGTGCCCTGACTTCCTGGCTCAGGCTGTGACTTAAGGACTCATGGGAGAAGTCATGGAGGGCTGCCAGAGGGAGGCAGCTGGGGGCCGGGCAGGCAGGTGGGGGTGTGCGTGGGCGGGGGCTGCTGACCTGTGATCCTTGGAGTGGTT